ACACTTGAGCGTTGCTTGTCCTCAAGCAATTTCTTCAACTTTGGATGCCTTGGTTAGTTTCAACAAAAATATATGAACAAAAATAATTTTAATTTTAAGAGGTAAAAACTCATGTAAACTCTTTTATCTTTCTCGGTCCAAAACCAAATTTCTATTAGACACACAAAACTATCATTAGATTTAGAAAAATTACTTATACTCTTGAGAGTAGATGAGTGGATTGTGACTAGGACTTTTTGGGTGTGTAGGATGGCTTTTTTTGTGTATTTTACTTTTGAGTATAGAAATGGATCAGTTGAAATTCTTGGAAGAGACAATGAGTTTTTTTTCATCTGAATGGATTCTCAACAAGTATATATTTACTCAAAGTCATTTTGATGATCCCAATTTATTTGATGAGTTGTGGGGTGGCTTGTTTTCCAAAATGGTTCTTGAATATTTGAGATGTTCTTAAACCATGTTTTTTTGGAAGTGAAAGAAGGTGGTGTTCCTAGTCACAAGGTTTTTTTTTTGGGTTGTTTTCAAGAGTAAAGAGTAGTGTAATAAATCTAAAAAAAATGATAGTTTATGTGAATAATCAAAACTTTCTCAACCAAATACCCATTAAAAAGAGAATTATCACAAGTTTTACCTTCCTAAAATAATTATTTTGCACACAAAATTTGTTTAACTAACCATGAAATGCACCCCCCACACTTGAGATACATTGTCCTCAATGTAGATTGGGGAATGTAATGCAAGATCAAATCTTCAATAGTGGAATGAGATGTCTTTGAGAGAAGGAAATGCATGATACTTGAGCTGGGATCGATGTTTTTTTTTTCCTTCTTTTTTTTTTCTTTTCTTTTTTTTTTTGTTTTTTTTTTCTTTCTTTTTTTTTTTTGTTTTTTTGTTGGGTTGCCTCCCAATTAGCGCTTAGTTTAACGTCATAGGCCGGACGAACGTACCTCTTTTGTGCAGCTGAATTCCCGCAGGTGTTTAGCTAGTAGGACCTCTCTTTTAAAATCTTGCGGGGGAGGAGAGGATGCAGAGCTATTATTTTCAATATTGAGAAGAGTATCGCCCGGGTCAAAAATGTACCTTTTTGGCGTGTCCCGATTATGTCCTCCTTTCTTGTTGGCGTATCCTTCTTGAATGGAAAAGAGGTCTCCTCTACCATTTGGAGGCGTGAGAACATTAGCTTCCGACTTCAAGAAAGTCCCGTCGTGTACATCAAGTATGTCTGAGGTCTTCTTGCTCTCCGGAACTTTGGGATCATCCTTTCCTCTTTTGCTTTCCGTTGTGATGACCATGGTACTTCCTGCTATAGTAACTTGTTGAGCAAGTTGGTCAATCTGCAATTGTAGAGTGTGGAAGGAGTTTTTGGTATATCGTTCGAGGTTGTCCATCCTTTGATTAAGAATTGTGTTTTTATTTTCAATTCGGATGTCAAGTTTTGTAAATTGAGAATGGAGATTCTCAACGGATGCCTCCATTCTACTATAATGTTTTTCATTTTCAGCTTGAATACTTGTGGTAAGAAACGTCATCATCTCTTCCATGGTGGACTGAAAGTTTGAAGAACTCCCTTGCGGATTCCAATTGTTGTCTTGGTTCCCCTTTTGTTGATTAGAAGAGTTGTAGTAGTTATTACCTCCATGATTCCCCCACTCATCATAGGAGTTCATGTAATTGATCTCCTCAGGTTGAATAGCATACTCTCGTGTAGGAAGAATGTTTCCTAAGGCGGTTTGTAGGCTTTCTTTCAGTGTCCGTTCAAACTCCAAGAATCTTCTATCAAGCACATCACCGATAGATATTTCCTTCACTCTAGAGAACTTTATGTCTCTGGCTTGAAAATGTGGGCTATAGGCAACAACGGGCATCTTGATCTCATTTAGTGAAGGATTTTTTTTTCCTTTTTTTTTTTGTATGTGTTTGCACACTCTTTCAACTTCGGGACCGATGTTTTACTTAGATCCTTCAACTTTTATGAGTATGACCACACATTTTTGTTTTTTTTTTTTATAAAAAAAAATACACTAACACTACTACATGAAAAGGTGAGAAAAAAATTGAGGTTTGTGAACTTTATAAAACAAGGCCATTTCCCCGGCAACGGCGCCAAAAACTTGATCGGGCTAAACTTGCAAGTATACAAGTGCCGATGTAGTAATAAAATACCGGTAAATACCGGGTCGATCCACAGGGAAATGGTTGATATTATAAAGTCGAGTATTGAATGCAAAGAATGTAAATGATATATTTTTTAGGAACTTTGCTCTTTGAGATTGGTTTAAACAAGAATGAGAATTACTAAGGCAATCGGGATTCACCTAAATGCTTTAATAGTTATTTAATAATAGTTCTTCTCCAATAATTATGAATACGATGTCGCTAATATATTCTCAACTCCGGTTAAGGCAGCGAGAGCGTGGTTTTCGTTACGTGTAAGTCCCGTTACGGCTCACATTCATCTACCGAAAACCCCGTTGAATATCAAGACATCACACCCGTATCATATAAGACCGGATATATTTCTATTCTCGGTGTTATATATGTTTATCCTTTAGTGTTCATAGTTTAGACTTCAACGTTAATTGCAAGCATAAACTAAATTTAACATACTTCTATGTTGTACACCATAGTCATAAACAATCAAAATATAAAGGATAAATCACAATTTATTGGTTTAGAACTTTTATCAAACACCTAGTGTGCATAGAGGTTCATCCCTAGCCTTAGCTAAGAAATTAGCCTCTAATGCTCATATTAATCACAATACAATATTGAAATGTAATGGAACATGAAATTACAAAGGAAATAATACCTAAACACCAATGGTTTCGGAGGTTGAAGTTTCCTCCTCAAGAACTTGAAGAACAATAGCAAAAACAAAGTATAAAGACTAAGAATTAATCTATGGAATGGAATGTGTTTGCTTGATGAATTGAGGGCTTTATATAGGATAAAGAATGGCATCTTTTAGTCTATTCAAACCCAACAATAAGGTGTGGAGCAATATTTGATCAAGAAATGAGGAAGATGAACTTTTCCCATCAAAAATCCTCTTGCACGTTGGCCTGTTTTGTGCAGAAATCGCCCCAACCGGCGCCGGTTATGTTCCGACCGGCCCCGGTTCAAAACAGCCTCATTTTTGCGTGAAAAAACCTTTCGACCGGCGCCGGTTCTTGACTAACCGGCGCCGGTTGCTGCGCCCAACAATACACTTCATTTTTCTTCTTCCGAAATGGATCAAAAAGTGTCGGGTTTTGTCCCAGGATTTTGTGGATGTTACGCTATGAATTTGAACATGATTCCTTCACCAAAGTTGTAGATAATGAAGTCTTCTATCCACCAAAACTTGAATGAAGTGATTTTATTCATCCAATCAAACGTTATGGCTAAAACACTGAGAGGTATGCATCCTGAAATCCCACCAGCAACATCTGACTTTGTTGGTTGATTGAGTCTTGTTCCTTTCATATTTTGGCCATGACGTCTTCATAACATTTGTACCTTATTGAGTTAGCATTCACATGAAACTCGAATCGAGTGATTTCGAGTTCTATAGAATACGTTATACTCAAATTATGGGCAGAACGTCATACTCTTGGTCTAAAAAGTAGTTCATCGCAATGTTTTATGCTCTAGCTCTCATTCTGGAGGTATTTGTCCGATTTCTCTTCTTTTCTTCAACAAATACTTATAAATACTTATGTTAAACACAAGTAAATATAACGTCTATCATTGTTCAAGTTATTTTAGGAGAATGTGTTACTTTTTAATATGCGGAATGTTGAACTGCTTAAATATACTAATAATAATAATTATTATTGTTCAATATTGAATTGACATCAATAGATTATTAATTGTATTTCGTAACATTTTAATAATAGATTTAACATGTCACTAGTAATAACGATTTAGTATATTTCGTTAGTCTATGATAAGTTTTTGTATTGGGAGACATGCACGGTAATTTACCGATACCGTACCGTTACCGAACCGAAACTTCGGTATACCGAAATGCGTTATACCGAAACTTCGGTAAGGTAAAGGTATGCAACTTTTGCATACCGAAAGTTTTGGTACGGCAAAGGTATGAGAAAAAATATAAGGTATACCGTACCGAACCACCCCTAGTTAATATGCTACAAGGCTAGAAGGCACACATTGCACATTTTTATATTCTCGGACCTGTATCAGGCAATGTCCTTGCTCCACTTCATATTTATTTCTCCTAGTCCTGGGTTATTTTAAGTTTGTATTCACACATGCTTTTGGCATTCAGCTTGAAAGAATTGTTAGTTTTGTTGTGGCAAAACGGATGGTCACTTCAAATGAGGGTACATTCGTCTTTGTGTGATGCTATGTGCTCATATTACTCAACTCCTCAACTCCTAGGAAGATGAGAGTCTGTGCAGGCATTGAGTTTTGTAGGTGGGAGCCTTTGCGGCACTGGGCTTGGGCCCGGCCGGGCTTTTGTTTGGGAAGTAGGGAACCGAAACCGGCCCGGGTGACCGCCGGTTTCGGGCCGGGCCGGTTTCCGGTTCAATTTTTTTTTTTTTTTGTTTTTCTAAATTACCCCCGACCCCCCCCCCCCTCCTTCACCCCCAACCCCCCCCCCCCAAACACCAGCCCTACCCGGTAGAAACCAAAAAACATTGAAAAAAAAAAATGGCCCGAAACGGGCCCGGACCGGCCGGGCCGGTTCAACATTTTCAACGCCTGAGCCCGAACCGGGAGTTGAGCGGTTCCGGTTGGCCCGAACCGGTCCCAAGACCGGGTACCGGGCCGCCCGACCCGAGTCCACCCCTAATAAAGCTCCCTCCTTTTGCATTGCTTCTTTCTCTTGTATTTCACACCTACCATTCTATGGCTTCTACGGTAGTTCTACCCACTACTGGTAATGTTTTTTTAGCAATGGCTTGTTATCATCCGAGTAAATTTCCAATAACAATTAATAATTATTTGAAGCATCTATGATATAAATATAGTTTGACAGATCAATTCTTTCACCGGCATGCAATCCAAGATTGCTGTGTTTTGTGACTTTTGTCCCACTGAAGCTGAGGCATCGCAACAAGATTGCTTTATTTGATTGCAAGTTTAAATAAATATTGTTGGAAGATAACTATCTGAAGCTGAGGCATCGCAACAAGATTGCCTTATAAGATTGTGAATATCAAAGAGCTTGAAATTTGTGGGTTATTACGTAAAAAACTACACAGGAAACCAATAAAAGGAAAACACATAACACTGGATAAGAAAGCAACATTATAACTGATCTGCTTGGTGTCAATGACAGAAGCGCCATTCCAGTATCGCATTCCTCAATCATAAGATTCGAAAGTGGCATCTGCAAATATCAACATCATCATAACTTATTTGAGTTCAATAATAAAGATAGTTGAATAGGCATAAAACACGTTTGATAACATATCATTTGGCTGAAATAACCGACTCTGATGAATTTTCTAGTTTCCCTTGTTTACCCTCAGTTGCACCTTTCTTTTTACTCTCGCCATTTCACTTTTTGTTTGACGCACATCAGAGTTTCACCGTACCTGTGACCCTCAATTTCAGTTTTCCTTTGAAACGTCAATTAAGGGAAAGAAGTTGGGTTGACATCCATTTCAGCCAAATAAGTAACTAAAAAGCTACTTATTCCCAGACAAGTTATCTGGCTACCAAACTGGCTTGAAATACCCAACAACTCCCAGAAAATGGAGAACACTTGTACCAAAAAGAACAACTTGTGAGAGAATAGGTAAGGGGAATGAGCATACCCTAGTAACCCACGCCCAAGCCATGGCCGAGGCGTAACTGATAAGTTAACCGATAAGCCTTGTCTCAAGACCACAACTGTTATTGTACGCCCCTGATTTTTCTGTGATTCAGCTGCAAGCCTTTGCGACAAGTTGTCACCATACTCGACATTACCAAATTTTACAACTTGGTCCCCAAGTTGTAGTCCATCTTCTGCTGCCGGGGATGCCTCTGTAATTTCATCAATTAGTGCAAAAGGTCTGCTTACAACCATATCAACGTCCATAGCACTTATGCTGGTAGTAGTCGTGCCAATAAAATTAGAAGGCGTCACATTTGAACCTGCAGCATCTCCATGGATACGAAAAATTAATAGTTAAACTACATTAAGGGGAGCTCCCCTCCAATTTAATTGAGGGGGGAAAGGGGGGGAGGATTGAAGAAGTGTTGTCCCCCTCCCCTTCCTATGTCCCCCTCTGCACTCAAACCAAACACACCCTTACTGCAAATTGGTTCTTTTTTAGATTCAAAAAGTTTACAAATCAGGAATTCTGGGACAGAGAATACAATTAATCAAAGCTGAGTGGGTATGCACTTAAAGACTATAACCAAGCTACGCAAATTATACATGCAATTAAATTGCAATACCTACTAAAACAACTATTAGCATTAGTTTGGGGAGACTTGAAAGACGAGATGATAACAAGCGGAAACGAGACAGGATATCAACATATCATATATTCTGATTTATTCAATAGGTTAGTAAATGTATCGTACAATATCGCCCTTCTTATTTAGTTGCCCTGTTTAACTCTTTGACCATTAATATATTTAACTGGCTATTTGTAAAAATTATAAATCGAACATCATCAGAAAGTTCACATTAAGACAATTTTTTAATACTTTTCATGGTATATTTTTTAAACATTAATAAATAAAATTTGGACAAAGTAGGGTACACGAATAGTGTAAAAGTCAAAGATACAGACATACTAAACAATGATGTTAGTAGACTAGAAAGCACAATGAAAACAAACAGGGCAAAGATACGGACATGCTGAACAGGGCAAAAACCCACAAAGGATGTTTTCTTTTAGACTGAAATTTGGTGGCCTGGTCTGATCTGGTCTGGTAAACGGGGGTCTCTGTGTATTTTATAACTACGGAAGTTTGGTCTGGTCTGATCTGGTCTGGGACTGAAAACAGTCCAAAAGAAAACATCCTAAACTTAGGCGGAGGGCGTCAATGCACTAACAAAAGAATCATCTTTCCCATGCAAATTTCTTTCTACTTTATTGTCACTGTAATAGCAAACTCGACTCATTAAATCTTTTCATTAGTTAACCCAACCATTGAATCTAATTAAAGGTATAGTAATTAATTATTTATAGCAATTCTGCTGTAACAAAATTTAAAAGTACTATCCTGATTAATGTGACTCTTTTTTATTCATTACGGATGGAGTAAGTATGTTATTAGTAATTGCAGATTACACCATCTGTAAGAGAAAATAATGTTGTCACGGATCCATGACCATGAAGAATGGCAAATACCTGAATCTTGTGTAGTAGAAGGTATGGAAGGAAGTCTAGATGAGTGCAGAACTTGGATATATTTGTCCATTTTTGCAGTTAAATCCTTGTGATCATTCCGCAGCTCTGCATGTGAGTAAATGATTAGATGCACACTGATCACAACTCCATCATAATTAAACAAATCACAAAGCAGAACATCAAACTTATAGGTCTACAAACATTCCAGAAATCTTTGCAATAAATTATCCCTGGTAGCTATGATTCACCAGCAAAACGATTGTTATGGAAGTTACCAGCAAGCCTATGCCGATCGGCACGCACTGCAGGAATGTCAATGTCTGCTCTAGGGAAACCCTAAATTTAGACGGAAACAAAAGAATCACTTCAAATCAAAACTCAATATGCTAGAAATCAAGGCTGCTTTTAAGTGACAGCACATCTCAAAAGATTAAAAACATCATAAAAGTTATGCACGGAGAAAAGGTGGAATTACCTCTGAATCGGTAAGATTTCCGGAGAGACCAGGTCCGTCGGGGCAGCAGAGGCGCTGTATAATGGCATTCATCTCAAGCTCCACACTACTCCTTTGCTCCATCAGCTTTATCGCCTCGGTTTTAAGGTTCGTGCCTACCATTTCCCTTGATATTTCTCTACAACCTTTCACTAGGGTTTTGCTGCTTCCCCACAACAGGGTTTGTGTTCCAGACAGTAGGTGTCAAACAAGAAGAATAATCATGGATATATATTTTTCTTTTTTTTCCCTATTCATGGGAAAAATGTTTATGAAATATAGATGTAGGTAGGGGTGGCCGTGGTCGGCTAACCGGGTTTCGGTTAACCGAGGAATCGGTTACTATACTTTTTATACCAATACCCGTACCATAACTTCGGTTAACCGGGTATCGTTTAACACTTTAACCAAAGCTTCGGTTAATCACAAATTGGTTAACCAAAAAACCTTAAAATCATAAAGATAATAGACTTGCCAAACCGAATAAGCTTACAGAGACACATTACAAACTCCAGCAAATTAAATATATACAAAGTATTAAATTTGTGTAACTGTTAAGTTAGTTAGCAAAATTCTTCTTTTTACTTGGTTCATTTGAGAGTAATCATGTATATAGTATCAAATTTATATGAATACTTGAGAATTCATGAAATCCTAATATTATTATACAATAAAATTTAGATCTTTCCAGCTAGGCAAGCTGTTTCGTAGCGAGGGCTAGGCTGATTTTATTGAAAGAATTGAAAGAATCCATTTAGAATCAAGGTGGAAAACAGAATATGTAAGCTGCATTTGATTATTCTACTCCTTACTCCTTTTTGTTGGGCACCTACCCGTTGCACCATGTGCGAACATAGCTAGTAACAAACAATATAACGAAGCATCTATTATGAACTCTGTGTTTATAATAAAACATGTTCTACTCTAGGCGGCGACGCAGCGTGTGTTGTTTCGATTTGCATATATCAATACCAGATTACCAATTTCCATAAAATTGAAATACTGCCAAGGATGAGTATTTTACCAGATAGAAGGAGAGCTTAGGAAATCAGGAGAGCTTCTTCGAGTAAGAGACAGGGCGGGCAGTTCCGTGTTAGACAGTAGACTGGTAGAGGAAAGAGGAAATTGTTGTCAAAGAGGAACTAAAATCAACCAAGGTTGAGGGTTGGGTTTACGCCTTTACGGATGACAATCTGAGAAAATATTGGGAAATTACTTTATCTGATTGTCCAGGATGATCTAATATTCTTCCCAAATTACTCTCAATTAATTATGAAAAAATTGGGAAAGTTACATTTTGGTAATTAATTATTTTTTATCACCGGTAAATTTTGAATTTTTGGTCACTAATAATTTTTTGGATTTTGATCACTGACGGATTTTGGTCATTGATGGATTTTGGTCACTATGGTGTTACTAGTCATTGTGACGTTACTGCAGCAGTAATAGGGGTATAATAGTCTCCAAATCACTTCTTAGTCTTATTTTTAAAAATTGGAGGAGAATGCCACTTTTTTGTCCATAACTCTTTTTTTAGTATTATTTTAGACAAAACCCATTAATTATTATCTCTTTTCATTTAATTTCTTTATGAATTCAACTTTTATCAAATTTGATTCTTTGTGGTTTTATAAAAAAAATTATGTAATTTCTAAATATACAAATTTTATTTACTAAAAATAATCTTGTTATTGACAGGGATCCATTAATTTTATGGTCAGTCGAATATCGTAGGTTATGTGACAACTTTTTAAGTGAGACAAATGGAATATGTTTATTTAATTATATTCGAATGTCTATTCTTGTTATTTTCATACTCCCTCCGGTTTTTAATAAACTTCACACTTTCTTTTTTGGGCGGTCTAAAATAAACTTCACACTTCCTTATTTCCTTTTTTGGCAAAGAAATCTACATCAGAACAGTGCCAAACAGTGTCTCAACAGTGCCAAACAGTGTCTCTACAGTGCCAAATAGTGTCAAACAGTGCCTCAACAATGTACTTTACAGTAAAGTCAAATTTCTTTCCTTATTTTGTGTGAAGTCAAAGTGTGAAGATTAAATAAAACCGGAGAGAATATTATTTTTTCGTTAACATTTAAAATTTTTAAGGTATTTATGTTAAAAGACTTATTGATTATATTATTCAAGTTTATTATAAGTGGATTTCAAAATTTAATGACAAAATTTATCATCTTTTCTTTAATTTGTAAACAAGTTTTATGAATAACTTGAACATTTTTTTTAAAAAAAATTTGAAATGATAATAAATATATTTAGATTACTATTCGAACAAATTTATTTATTTCTGTATTATATCTACAACTTGTTACAATTAAACATATTTTACTTAAAAATAATTCAATTATGTTTGATTTTATTTATTATTAAGATATTTCAACTTTTCTATAATTTTAAATATTTTAGATATAGGTTGTAATAGATTTATTGTGTTAAGAGAAAAAATATTTAAAGGGCATTGAAGTAATTCACCATATTTGCAATATAAGATAATTCTCAACCAAATAATTTATGTCATATTCCCTTAATCCGAACCAAACACAAATGGGAATAGATTAAATACATTCCCATCAATCTAAAATACTCAACAATTTGTCATTCCCATGGTAATCTAACATTCCTTAAACCAAACATTCCCTAAAAGATTCGATGGATACCGGCATCCAATACCTCACGTCAAAATTGAGAAAAATCTCATTGATAGGGCAACAGATGTGAGTGCGAATACCAATTTTATTTTTAAGGGACGGTTATGGTTTTATAAGTGTCAGCCCCATTACCCATCATGTTTATTTTTCATTATATTTATATTACATTTTATTTATTATTTTTGTCCCGAAACTAATAAATAGTGAGATTTTTCTCTTTTGATTGTGTATATGTGGATAATGGATATACTAGCTATAGTTTTTCAATGAAAGTTCATAACAGGTTTTAATAGTCTTGTTCGATTATTAACATCGTTTTTTGTGAATAATCGCTTATTAGGGCATTAATTTAGGTTGAATATGACTCACTTAATAAAGCGGTTACTCGTGTTTATACTAGTCGGCCGTTGGGAAGGTTACGAGTAAAAGATGTGACGAAATGATTTAATAAAGCCGTTACTCGTGTTTACGAAGGGAGTGTTTGCAACAGCTTCTACTTAGAAAATACACTTTTGGGCTGATTTGGAAAAAGTGATTAGTTGTAAAAATTGATAGTGTTTGAGAAAAAAGTGATTTTGAAAAGTAAAAGTTGGTAGTGTTTGGTAAAATAAGTGTTTTTGGTGTATAAAAAGGGGAAAAGCACTTCTGACACGAAATGCGAGAAAAGTAAAAAATTGGTAGTGTTTGGTAAATAAGTGATTTTTAAAGTCAAAAGCTGAGAAGTGCTTTTTTTAAAGTTGTTGCAAATAGGGGTGGCAACGGGTCGGATTTATACCGGGTGAAGGCTCATCCACGTCCACCCATTAATTTTTCATATTCCACCCACCCGTCCATCATCCATTAAAAATTACATCCACATCCAACCCATCCTTCATTAACGGGTAATCGGGTGGATCGGGTGAGTAACGGGTGAATATAAATGGTCTAATTTAAAAGAAAAAATTAATAAATTATAAAGAGAAATCATGACAATTAAAAACCAAAATTAAGAAATCGTTGAATAATAACAACAAAAACTTGAATAATAACAACAAAAACTTGAGCAATTAGGTATACTACAATCATTAATTCAGTGTTGATAAAGAAAGAACTGATTGTCAAATAAAATAGACATAAAACTTCTTCAAACTGTCATATTCTACATTTTTGCATCCCCGACATTCTTCAAAATAGACCACTTCTTGAAACTCTCCAATTGCCTTTATTAGTTTATTTCACTAATTCATAGATAGGTGTCTTCTCCATTAACAAGTACATATCTATTAATATATTAATATTAACTATTATATATATTATTAATTAGATATTATATATAATATAATATACGGAGTATATATTTATTTATATGCGGGTTAGCGGGTGGATGGATGGAACGGATGATGGGTCGGGTGATGGGTTGGATGAGTGTTCATCCACACCCGATCCAACCCGTCTTTCAATCCACTCGTCATCCATTTTTCATCCATACTTTTTCGGATTTTCATCCATATTTTCGGTTCGGGTTGGCCGGGTATCCGCGGGTGCGGGTGATATTGTCAGCCCTAGTTGCAAACCAGCCCTAAAACCATTAGTAAAAGATTTTAGCAACCATTGGTAATTCAATTTTAAATTATGGTGACCATGATGGTTTGTTGGTAGTAACTATACTCACATTTTCATCAATATGTTTTATGTCATTTTTTATCAATATGTTTAATTATGGTGACCATGATGGTATGTTGGTAGTAACCTGCATATTGCATACGTATAACAAAACTAAGGTATATATAAAATTTACTCCGTATATAAAAACAAAATTAAAAAGTACATGCATCTTCATTACTACATTCTAGAAATTTTGGGAAACAACGAACATGAGAAATTTCTCCTCAAAATCTCTTAGCTCAGCTAGAGGAACAAGTCATTATATTGCATTTTGCATATGAGTAACTCTCGGAACCATGCATATTTCCATTACACTACACTCTTACTCCCTCCGTTCTTTAATTCTTGCAACATTGTGATTTTTGAACTATTCACAAACCTTACTTTGACCACAATTTTTTACTAATATACATAATCAAATTATTAAGTATAAAATGTTATTGAATGCCTATTAATGTGAATTTCCAAAATATCAACTTTTTATAATGTTTACTTATTCATAATTAAATATAATTACAATCAAAGTTGTGCATTGGCAAATATACAAACAAGAGAAAGAACTAATTTCTCTCCTGCTTATATTCTTTGACACCCCTTATCTAAACGAACTCCACTTTTCAATTTTTACCAAAACTTGAATTTCATACGGTACACTACAAGTACACAATGAATATTTTGATGATGGATTCATATGTAGTACTACGTACTTCTTTATAGGCGTGAGCAAATAACCGATTCAACCGACCTGACCGAAAACCGATGACCGAACCGACCGAAAAAATCGGTTTTTGGTCGGTTATCGGTTATCATAAATTAAAAATAATCGGTTATTCGGTTATTCGGTTTTTATTCGGTTTATTTGTCCGTTATCGGTCGGTCACCGATAACCGTCCGATTTTTTTTTATTTTTTTATTTTTTTGTAAATATTTAAGTAAATACTATCGTATAATTAATATACTCCATAATAAATTAATAACTCCATAGTAACGATAAAAAAAAGAACTCCATAGTAATGAAATATGAAGTCCAGCCCACGCCTATTGAACTCCACCTACAAAACTCAACAGTGGAATGCTATGGAGCCCGTTCTTCAATTATCCACTTCCCCATTTCTTTAACTTGTATTCTTATAATCAATTCATGGAACACCTTGTTCAAAATTTCAAACCTCCACGTACACCTTCATTAGTTCTGGAGGAATCAACCTTGGTAAAGAAAAATCAACCGAAATCCTTATTTAATCGTTGCGAAATTGCACACATTTTTTTCTTTTAATGTTTTCTAGATCCTTTATTATCTTACTCAACATGGCAGATCTTTTGATTTTTAATTTTTTCTTTAGTGGGATTTAAAATATTCAGAAACTTTTAGATGGGTTTGCTCATTTGGGGTGTAAAGATTAATAAGATATTAGCTTATTTATTTGCTAACATATTCTTTTTTATTTTGTTTTCATATTGAAAAAGACAATTGTGGAACAATGAAGTAGTTTCAACGTGGGATTTTTTAGTTTTTGTAATCGTATTGTGCTAAGAACAATTATTTACATTTAAATATGTTGAATCCATTTTGGTATTTATTATTTTATTTATTAATGTGCTATCTACAACTTTTATAATTTTGAAAAATATATGTTTTGGTCGGTTATGTTCGGTTATTCGGATACCGACCGAAACCGAATGACATTTTTCGGTCAGTTTTTGTAATGTTGTCGGTCGGTTTTCGGTCGGTTATGAGAGGAAAAAACATTGGTCGGTTATTCGGTTATCGGTCGGTTATTTGACCGACCGACCGAATGCTCACCCCTACTTCTTTATTCATTGCTAAGTCACTTATAAGACAGCAACAATGTCAGTTGCATCAAAATGTGATCATATTGACCATCACCACACCCACCACCACAC